TTTTTTTTTTTTTTTTTTTTTTTTTAACATTTAGATACCTGGTTTTCTCTGAATCCACGGTGAGGACAAGGTATAGAAAGAAATGCCTATTTACTTGATTTTTGTGTTATCAAACCTTCTCCCTACTTGTCAGCAACACCTGCTTCTGACATTAGTAAAAATGGCTTATGTTCATAAAAGAAGTATGGTCCCTTAAGCTAGTTTCCATTACCTCTGCTGTGACATCCACTGAGAGCACTTTTCCTGAGCTCCAGACCACCAACGTCGCAGCCAGGATAAAATGTGCACTTGCCAATCTCCAGTCCAGCATCTAAGGATCATACACATCATGGTTAACATTGATTAGTCTGGCAAGATAGAAAACAAAAATGTCTATAAAGTTTTTTATAGGCAGGTAATAAACCAAATTATTCAGCTTCTATATGTTGGAGTGCACCTCTGCAAAACTTATATAATACTTAATAGAAGCTGTAGATCTCCCAGAATGAATTCTATCAAGGCTTCATTTCCATGGAAACCTAGACTGGGGTTGTAGAGCTATAATCATAATTTAATTCTAAGCCAAGTCTGAAAAATCTAGTTTGTGTAACTTTATTCTTTGACTCTCTAATCCACAGACTACAACCTCATGTACCTGAGGGGAAATATATTAAATTGACTAGGTATGAGAGACTAAGGCCTGGTGGGATTTGTGGTGAGCAAGAGAGAATGTGCTGTGTCTAAAAGTAATTCAATTCAAAATTTCAGAAACACCACAGTTCCAATAGGAGACTATCTTTATGTCCTGTGATATGTAAGGATTTCTAGAGCAAGATTCAAAAGGTAGATCTCATGGAAAAAATTAACGAATTACCCTATGTCAAAATTGAAAAATTCTACATGATAAATACAATAAACAAATTACAATAAAAACCAAATTAAAAATGGAATATATTTTCAACAGATATAAAAAAGAAAGTTTAGCATTTGGAACATTTAAATAACTCTGATAAATAAAATTTTAAAAACAGACTCACAAGTAAAACTGGGCCAAAGTTTGTAAGGAGACATGTATCTGAAAGTTCATAACTTCATTTTATATAGTAGTAAAAAAATGAATCAACTCAAGTACTCTACTCAAGAGGAAATGGATTGATCAAATGAGGTAAATTCATACTATGGACTTTACTCAAGTAAATTAAATATGGGTGTTATCTACTGTTCAAAACAAATGACCTGAATGTTATGTGTAATTATATGCAAGGATTTAAAAAAACAGATTTGAGGGGAGATTAGAAGTTCTAGAACAATACATATGCCAAGCTACCATTTACCTAAATTGGAAATACGTAAAGCAATTTCATCTATTTTGAAATCTGTACATATAATTAAAATATAAACCAATGGAACTTGATTCATGACTATGATTACTTCTGGGGAGGGTGGGGAGTATATGAGATTATGGAGAAAACATAAGGGACTCAGTTTTTATCTCTCTCTATATACATAGTAAAGCAAACATGTTAAAAGATTACATTTGTTAATTCTGTGTAGTAAGCACAAAGGTATATCATTTATTAATTTTTACATTAAAAAAAACTATAAATCCAATTAAAGCTTATCTACAACCGAGATCAGGCCTACGGGATGCCAGTTTTGCCACTGGTTAAAGCAGAAGGCCTTGCCCTGCTGGGAGAAGCTCACGGGCTGTGAGCTACCAACAGAATGGGCTTGACTTCACCACTTAGCACATGACATTGGAAGTCCCCCAGGCCATCCTTCATGAATGAGAAGTTTCAGTAAACTTCTGTTGCCTTAAAAAAATCATTTGGAAACCTACAGGGAGCAAAAAGAAAGGGATCCTAGGATCGATCTGAAGAACTGGATTTGACTCATATTTACTTTAGAAATAGTGTGACCTTGAGTGTGTGTCATTTAACCTACTTGAGCTTTATTTTCCATATTTGTGAAATGAGGAGTAATTCTGACCTCAGAAGAACTTTTTGAGAGGATTGGATTAATTCATGTATAACCTCTTTATCCCATATAGCATTTATAATTTGTAAGTGAAAGAACATTTATGAGATATTACTAAATATTTCTTTAATAACTACATTCTCTTTGGTGTGATCCAAGATTTTCTTTATGACATTTCCTTAAAATGTTGTTACTGTGAAACCTCAGTGTGGATTTTAGTAATAAATGTATCTGCTAGAATACAGACCAATAAGACCTAGACAGAGTAACATCTGTATTAAATGTGTATTAATACTTAAAATGGAGATAAAATATTTTAGTATTGTCTATAACATTTATTTATCAAATATAATCTTAATTTTCATGTAATGCAGCCTAAACTAGTTCTTCATTATGTCATCAATTACTTTACTTTGCAATCTAGTAATACAATGTTGTTCACTAGCTGTTTATCTGTATTCCACAATTTCTGGAAGGGAGCAGTAAATTCTGTGTTCTCTTTCTGACAAACTTACATTTAATATTTGAGTTTTTTGATAAGTATCTAAAATCAGCTAATCATGATTATTTCTCTAAATTGAGACAGGAGAAAAATAACAAGCATGAATGTAAAAGTTATCTGGTAAAAATACCAACCAAACACTGCATTACTTATTTCTTTAGAAAATCAGCCATTGAATCATTCTTCCCTCTGATTTTGCTGCTGTCTCTGACTTCCCTCAGCAAAAGGGAAGACATATCAAAAACATAAGTGTATTTTTACAATGAGCTCATATTTCTGGCATATCTTTTTTTTTAAAATAGCTCTTTCATTCAATCAAAGATAAACTATGGTTGTGATGTTTTTCTTCCACTTTTTTTATCATGCTAAAAACAGGTTACAAAGTGTGAAATTGCTCAATTTTATGAGCTTCCCCATGTGGATTTCCTTCAACTATTTTTATGCACATTTTACTAACCAGTTTTCTCTTCATCTCTGCAATCTTATAAAAGGCACAGGATGATGAGTGTTTGTAATATTGATGATTATGTCTGAGGCATATATTTTTGTGCTTGGGTGTATATAGGAAAAAAGTCATCATGTATCATCTTACAGATAACCACATCCTGATTATTTGGATAGGGAGATATAAAAATAAATGCTGAGTTTAAATACACCCATTTAATGGTTTAAAGCCATGCTTGCAGCCAGTTAACGAAAAGGCCAAGTTCCTAAATATGGCATTTGGTACACTAATGAAAACAAACACCCTGGCACCTGCCACACAAAAGACATTTGATTAACTAGTTGAAACTTGATTGCTACAAAATTAGAAACAGAGGAAATTATAGGGAGGGAAGGAAAAGACCAGGTTCAGCTCCGTTTTCCTATTTTGTTGATAGTGGATAAATATAGCCCATGACTAAAAATCTACCCAGCCCCATGTACACTCCAGATCACAGAAAGAACACTCAAAGGATGTTCATTGTGTGAATACATGATAGTGGAGGTGTTTGCAATTTTTTTTAGTACAGCTATACTTTTCATTGAGTAATTTTTGAATAACATTCCTCTAATGTGAGGAGCTTCAAAAGAGACAGTGGGCATGGGATCTGCCTTATAAGAAGATTAAGCTCTGAAATTCCAGCAGTAAAGTAACTGGTTTAATTATATTTAAACTAGGATTAAATGAGAAGTCTGTTAAAATGAAGAAAGATGTTTGCATTATTGAGAATCAGTGCTGCAATGAGTCATTGTTACTGTGAAAAATGATCTCTCAAGTGGGCTCTGTGGGAGAAAGATTGGTTGCCACTGATCCAAACTATCTGCCTTTGAGGGCTGGTGTTGAAGAAAAACAAATCACTCAGGTGACAAAGGAAATTTCTCTTCAGCAACGTCTGACTGAGGGATAGTAGATCTAACCATTAGAAATTCACAAAAGGACTGAGTTTTGGGGTTGATTCTTGATAACTTCTGGGATAATTTCTTGATTAGAACTATTCCATATAGACTCTATCCACCCTATTTTCAACAGAAATTAAAAATAAAGCCTTAATTAAAGATAAAGGACTTTAAAAAAGTAATTATTATTATTTTTAATCCTCTTCTTCTGCTTTGGCATTGCAGACATTTAAGTGAGATTTAACAGGACATGTTATGAAGGGTCTCTAGTTCTGACATTGGGAAATGACTGTGTGTACCTGCACACAACACTCCCCAAATCTTCTTTCTCTGAAAACGGGGGTGGTCTTCTAGGCAAGTGGTGGATCAGCTTGGTCCCGCAGTAAATCTGTAAAACGGAGTAAGTTCTTCTTCAATGTACCCTTTACCCTGCCCCATAAAGTCATGGTCACCCAGGTCTTTCTGATAATAGAGGAAAGCTTCCAGGATAGTAGATAGCAGAATAACTATCATTTTTTATTTTAAAGACGGGCCTAAAAGGGACAGTGGTTAACACAGTCTGTGTGGCTCGCTGTGATACAAAGAGACCTGATCTAGAGGTTCTGAGACTCAGGCCCTGCCTTGGCTCGGCTGCTAATTCACTGTATGATTTTGGACAAACCCTTTCCTCTCTAGACTGAGTAAACTGAGGTTAGTCTCCCTGACCTCTAAAGTTGCTTCTAGCTTTTGTAAAGTCCGTTTCTGAATCCAGCTCTTTTCTGGTGGAAGCACAGACTCTGTATGTAGGTAATGATAATAGTTGGTGTAGGTTTGGCTGGGAAAACCTTTCTGCTGTCCCTCAAATCAGCTGAGTCTATGCATAAGATGTTGCATCTAGGTTTTCACATAAATATGCTTCTCTTGAATTTTAAGTATTTCTAGCTGAAAAGACAGGGCCTTCAAATCTTTGATTTTAAGATTTCATTTATGGTAAGCAATCCCATTTTATAAATGTATTTTAAGAAAGAAAAAATGCTACCGATTAAATTACGCCATGTTATCAAGTGTAAGACATTCCAACTTCAGAGATGTTAAATGTGCCCAGAATGGATGAAATATGCTATATCTATTTACTTTCAAATGTTTACTTGGATTTTTTTTTCATCATGCTTAAGATAGTATACTCAATTCCCCCATACTTTCAAAACAAACATTGTTAGAGCTGAGGGAGGATCCAGATTCCCTAGCATGCAGCAGTTATATCTGCTCTTTTGGGGTCAGAGAAAGAAAGCATTGTACAATATTTAACGCATTATCAGTTATAAATTTTAAAAATCACATAATGTTAAAAAATTTAAAGATTTGATTGATTCCTTATTCCTCTGCATTTGTAGTTAACAGTCTATCAAAGGAAAATAATCATTTGAATATTTTCAGAGAACTCACAAGTCTTAGTATTAGTGGATACAAAATCACTATTATCAAAAGCTCCTATTTTGGTTACAAAATAGGAATTTTTGAAAATATAAATTTTCAGATATCAGACACACCACCAGTTTCACATACACACATATTTTTTCACATATGTACATATATTTTTCACACAATGTTTTTCTAAAAATCTTTAGATAAACTAATGAGTATTTTAAAAATAAAAATTTTCAGTCAATAGACATTCATCATCAGAAAAATATTTCTATGATGGTGAGGAAAAACTCAGAATTAGACTTGAAGGATAGGGATAAGTATCCTTGCTGTGCTTGGGAACCTTGAGCAAGATGCTTAAATTGTCAAAATTGTCTAATAAAACTCATTTTATGAACTCACATTTTAATTAATTTTGTTTAATTTAAAATTATTTAATTAATTTACAAATAGCACAAATCATTATGGATTTGCCTTGTTTGCCAAATAAGAGCAATAAAAACATTTACTTTCATATTTAATATTATTTATTAAAACATATAAAGATATACATTTATCTGTGAAAAAACACTGCATCATTTTTATTCTTATTTTGTCATAGGTGAACTTTTCAAGGGAGACTCTAAATTTTGCATGGAAACATTTTGAAAACTATAAGATAATATGGAAAGATTAACTACACGGTATAAAAATGATTATTTCTGAGCTGAAGGCAAGTGTTTGACGACAAGTCCTTCCAAGGAAAGTAAAGCTTATACTCAACAACCACCTAGGGAATCTGGGGCCATTGATAGAGACAATCAGCAAAGCTTATGTGAAACAATCAAGAGGATACATAACAGTTTGACATGATACAGATAACCTTGATATTTCACTGAGTGACATTTGAACAGGGTATTAAGTTTGTGTCTAGTTTTCATTGATGAGAGAAGCAACCAGATGCTTGAGACACTTTCCTGCTAGAAAGCAGAGACTTGGACGCTGGAGTCTCTTCTTTATTGGTGCTGCAATTCCACTGCCTATGGTGCAATCGGCTCCACAAACAAGAGAACTAAGCGTGGCTTTGGCACTTAGAACTTCAGAAGTGGGGATTAGTTTTGGATCCTCATAAAGTCAAATACTAGATTTAAAATCACTGAGGATTTT